AATTAAAATCAGTCGATGATGTAAACAACAATCCACACAAACCCTCAATTCGTAATGATATGACACAATTTACATAACATATAAATTAAAATAAAGGGTTTATGATAGCACTCTTGTTCAAACAGTGAGATTATTATTGAATTCCTAAGTAGCCATAGCTCAACATTAACATATATTCATCATATAATTTAAAGTTATAAAATGCAATTCCATGTATGTGTGAGTGTGTGTATGAAAGAGAAAAACTGATGAAGTACAGCACTGATGATGAATTTAATAATAACTTGGGGAGAAACGCTGAATACTCTCTCATTTATGGAGGTGTTTTTGTTTATCCCTTCAAAGACAGTTGAACTGAGAGATATAGTCTTAATACAATACAATTTCCAGAACATTTAATAAGGGTATACTCAATATCCAGCTAGATATGTCAGTGATCACTTTATACAATGATCAATCAGTTTAAATAACTCAGTAATACATTATTTCAGTCATGGATTGAAAGTTTCAGTGATAATTTCTTAGAATATGAAAGTGTGTGAAGAAGATCCGAACCATACAAGGACCAACAGTCCACAGGAGTTTACAGGTAGACTTTGTTAACATGTGTTAACTAGCATAAAACACAGGTCTAGGGTTTTTAACTGATTCCCTCCGACTAATTCATTGAAAACACCTCCACGATATTCAATAACTTTCTAATTGATATCAATCATGATGAAAATAATTTTTCAACTGAATTCATTTACATAAAACATTTAACTAAGCTATGTGTACATCAATTTATCAATAACGGATAAAACAAATATGGTATTTCACTGATTGAAATCATGAGTCAATTGAAGCTAGACCACCATGGAAAACCTGGAAGCACTGGACGGCCGTTTCGTTTTAGTATGGGACTCCTTGGCAGTGCGCATCCACGATCTCGCACCCCGCGGGATTCGAACCCAGAGTCTATCGGTCTCGCACCAGGCGCTTAGCCAACTAGACCACTGAGTTGGCCGGCATTCAATGGTGTTAATGTCTAACTTCATCTAATCCACCACTGTACATCATTGTCTTCAGTGAGTTCTTATCTCACAACAGACCTGGTTGAACTCCACTGCTGGTAACGACTTCTCACTAGAACTCCAGGAGTATCTCTTGAAGTCAGTCACTAGTGAGCAGATGATTATTGTCAGAAGGGGTTTGTGGAGATTTTAGAAATTTCACAGATTGAAATCATGAGTCAATTGAAGCTAGACTGGCGCGAGACCGATAGGTCCTGGGTTGGAATCTCGCGGGGTGCGGAATCGTGGACGCGCACTGTCAAGGAGTCCCATACTAAAACGAAACGGCCGTCCAGTGCTTCCAGGTTTTCCATGGTGGTCTAGCTTCAATTGACTCATGATTTCAATCTGCGAAATTTCTAAAGTCTCCACAAACCTCTTCTGATAAATATGGTATTACTATTATTAATACCGAAAGTATTTACTAACAACAATTTAGTTGCCCTATTTACACTATTTGTTTATGGGTATCTTTTCATTTGACACTAGTTAAGTAAACTGTGCATACATTCCATCGATATTATTATTATGATTACTATGATTATTATTATTATCACTACTACCGTAACGATAAATGACCCTTCAATTCCAGCCCCTTACAAATACAATTAATAAATAATTCAGTAATTTACAGAGAAATATTCTCTATACAGTTGTTTATCATTCATTTCATATAACTAACTATGTATTGCATCATAATTCCTGTCACATTTTGTAAACAATACACTCTTTTCTAATTGGCAGTAGTCAAGTTTATACATATAATATGATGTCACAATTGTATAACTAATAAACAGTAGACTATTCATTTTATGCAAAACATAATTGTTTACATACAGAATGTGTTGTTTAATACATAATTACGTTTCATTTTATATTAAGATGGTGTGTTTAAAATTGAGAGAGACACAAATAGAAAGAGAGAAAGAGAAAGGAAGAGGATAAGTTGCATTAAGATCAGATTTGAGTAGACAAACAACGATAAATGTTTAACATGTCATAGTTTTATAATTCATCCATTAACATTGGATCTTAACATTGTCATTGGAGTTCATGAATTCCCCTTAGATAAAGTTAGTTTCAAATTGTAAGTCAAGCCATGATGATCATCTCTAAATGATAATTCTTGAGAGATAACAAGTATGAGTCAATCTATCAGACTCGAAACAACTTACAACTTGGCATAAGTATGCACTGGTTTTAAATATTCTTACTGAACACTGTCAAAGTGGTATGAAATTAACAAGACCAACGCAAAAGAATTGGAATAATAATAATAGAAGTCTCAATTGTAGTAAAATGTCGATTAAGTTCACTAACTCAGTAGATAATGTGTGTTGGTCTTTTAAGTGAAAAGTACTAAAGTCAGGTCCTAATGTGGACACAAACACTGAGATGCAAGTGTATCTAATTGATGAATCTCTAATAGGATGAAAAATCACTAATGGACATCACATATCACATATATTGAGATTAGTTTGAAAAGGAAGGAAGAATTGAACGAGTAAGAAATGTGATATCCAAAACGAGATATTAAAAGTTAAGAAATAGAGGAAAATACAGAAACGATTCCATTTGCACTATTAGAACTTCACAAACTATTACAAAACAATGTATATCTAACTATCAATAAGGCTTATACCACAATGTAATGGTCATTTGTGTACTTCTGACGCTTCTAGCTTTCTTAAAACCTACCCACTATTACTTAAACCAGCCAGCAGTATATATAGGTGATGGTTGGGCATACTTGATCACATTTCCCTGAAATTTTAGTTGATCAAGTTACAAAGCCTCAATAATTGACTCATCATCTTTATTATAACACTATTTTTATTTTAAAATAATTAAAATAGAATGAAGATAGGCTTTAACACTGACGATTCAAAAGTGATTAATTATGTTCACACAATATCGTACACTGATTGAAGTTAGATTTGTGCATTACTAAATCCGGGCTTAGTTACCTGAATATTAAGTGTTCACACACCGAAGGTTCTCGGTTCAATTACCGGGTGAGGAATCGTGAATCCTTACAAATAGACAGGTTGTGGAGAAAACAACAGTATTGCAAACTCTGAACCAATTTTACGTAATTGATAAGTCTACTATTGGTATCTTCTACAGGTTACTCTGCGTGTATGTCCTTATGAATATAGATTGTTCATCTTTTATAAGGACCTAATTAGATGGTTAAGAGTCGTCAAATGTTCTTGGTCAGAGATTAGTATTCAGGGTACGGATTAGGGTTTAAGGGTTAGAGTTGCCATTACGAACTGACATTAGTTGTGACGTAAAAATGCTCTGTAAGAATTTAGATCAATGGATTTCGCTCAAACATCCAAAAGACCCTGCCTGACAAGTTTGTCCACAAAATGTAGTGCCATCAGGTTAAGGCATGCTTCAAGATTAACGGATTACGTTTAGGACTTAGAGATAGTATCTGATTGCCTATTATATGCAATTAAATAAGACAGAGTTGAGGATTTGATACATTTAACACTATCGTCTTTACTCGACGGTTGAAAAAGTAGTTTCTTTCTTATGATTTTAAACGTTTTAACCAGTATAAAAAGGTACTTTTATTGTTTATCTGAATTCCGCACAAAAACCAGAAGTTTCGTTCTCCATTCTGATCGGCACATACCTGTACTTTTAGCAAAACAATTGATAACTTCGTCAAATTTCTATTTTAAATCACAGGTTTATTATGTAAGCCACTCACGAACACAGGTTTATCGACATGACTTTGAATCACATATTAAGCCTGAGGGAAACGGATACTACTCGACCATTGAAGTCACAGTAGACCAGGTGGGGTTTCGACTAGGGATCGTATGATTGGATGCCAAGTAAATTAACCACTTTTAAGTTACTGGTCTACTGAATCAGTTTGAATTCATCTATGTTGTCTTTATCACCTTCAGTGACTCATGGTTTCATAATCCATGGATCATTAATTAAAATAGATATTTTAAAGAATTTTTGGCTGGAAAATCCTGGACTAAGATTTTGTGTTAGCGTTTGTTAGAAAATCATAGTTGAAATACTGAATGAACCTCAACATCTGATAAGTTTCAAATCTACAATGTAGTGTCACAGTGAGACTCAAGATAAATCATTCAAACTGAAGGCCACACTGAAACTTGATCAACATGGACAGTTCTGTCAGTATTAAGAGATAGACAATAGGTTATTACCAAGTGAACGGTCGATACAAACACCTCAGTACCACAGGATATTGTATAAAAAGTTTAAATCCAACGAACAGTATCAGTCCCTTTAATTTTAAAGGTATGTTATGTTGATGATTGCCAACTGGTATGAAACCAAGATTCAATGATTCCTGTAGACTCCCTCAAATTACGTAACACTTAGACATACCTTTATGGAATATAAATATATATTTAAGCACACAGCCTTGCAAATTTATGTTTCATAATGCCAATTTATTCGTTTCTTAACCCAGAGGTAGTATAGTGGAATAGTTGTACCTCAAAACTATTAATGATATCAATAATATTAGATATGAATGATTATCAGTAGAATTCATGGTTTTCATCTGTATCAATAGTTCAATGAATAATGCGATGGTATTTAAAGTGCAAAATGTTTGATTCATAACTCTCAATGTAAATATTCAAGTGATGAACTCCAAATAAGATGTTTGGTCAGTTCTAGCTTTCTTCCAACTTACTTTTACGCTGGCGAACATGGCGCTTTGAGGTACGGGTAGTAAAACATATCTAATCCATGTCCTACTCGTTTCATTTAAAGAAAACTCACTACCTCACCAAAAGTTTTTCCGGTCCTCATCTAATACCATCAACCCCCTGCGTCTAACTCAATGATCCTAATACAACCATGTAAAATGCTTTGAAGGCATCTCTTCATTCACTACATGAATTTAATATTAAAAAGAGCTTTTTTGTAACAATGAAGACTTACTCAATAAACGATGTATCTGGACCAAGAATAGCTCCACAACCTGGCCAATCACATACTTGTCCAGCAATAAGTAATGCTCTAGCAGGATCAGTTGTTAATGCTGGTAAATTGGTACCTAATGTTGGATTATTACCAATTTTCAAACCAGTTATTGTTGTAGATGATAATGATGATGAGGGGTTTGTTGTTACTGGTATTGCTGGTGTCATTATCGTGGAGTTTGTATTCTCCCGACCACTAACACCACTGTTAACATTGTCTTCGGAGCATGAAATTGTCATTAATTGACTTGAATCAAATGTGTTGGAAAGAAGACATCGTTGTTCCAGTGATTTATGCAATTGATCTAATTCACCGATAAGAATTTTCTCATATAAAGCTATAAAGGTAAACAGATATGTTAAACAAAATGACAACATTGAGGTTATGTGAAAAAAATAAAACAAAACACACATTTTAAACAATTTACTCCAATGGGGACAATAGTAATAATAGTGAAACTAAAGACAGAACAATATTGAATGTACTAAACATTATCCGTAAAAATAAATTACTCAATGTGTCGAGTGTGAGGAAGTTACCCGGCAAATACATTGAAAGATGTTTGAGTGATATTACAGATTGATAGAAGTTAGACATATACATCATTGGATAATGAGTTCGATTACTGGTGGTGATGGTAGTCGATATGCGCTACTGAAGAGTTCAGTAATAGGGGAAAACGGACGTCCAATGCTTCCAGGTTTCCAATGTTTTTGTAACTTAGATCGGTTTTTGATTTAAATCAAATTTCAATAATCTCCACAACCTCATACTGATATTCCACATAAATTTAATTTATGAGAAATAAACAGCACTTCCTCAATGTTAAATAACAAATTAATAGCATGGGACTGAATGATTTATAGATTGGTAACAATATTTATAAACATTCAGTGATCAACCATTGTAAATATCTCAATCCTACAGGAGGTTAGTCACTACCTGAATAGTTCAATGGTAATGTTTCAGACTGCGAAATTGAGAGTAACAGTTCCTTAAACATTCCAGGTACGCCTTACTGATGGGTGATAACTCGCACGAAACCTAGATCCGCGGTATTTTATAATTAACTCCAACTACAATCTAACATTTCAACATACTACATGTGATATCAACTCACTTAGATCAAGGACTAGATTGTCAACTGATTAATAGAATTCAACTGGACGAACATGATGGTGACCACTATTCAACTATCACTTAATATTTCTAACAGAACTATTAAGGTGTGTAGGGAGGGGAAAAGGAATGGTTTATACAAACCTTTCTTTATTTGAAGCGAGCTCTATGTATTGACTGAGATAATGAAAGGAGAATCTCGTTTCTTTTTTTTCACAATAAAATATAGAGAATACTGCGATGTTATTTTAGGCTTGATTGGAACTTCTCAACAGCTGACCCATCACGAACTTTTACATTTCACAAAAAGTATAATAACTTTAAACAATTAGGTTGAATTTTCAATATTGGGTTGTGGAGATTGTTGAATTTCATTGAAATCATGAACCTATTAAAGTTACATAACTATTGAAAACCTGGAAGCACCAGACAGCTGTTTCATTCTAGTATGGGGCTCCTCAGTAGCAGTGCACATCCACAGCCATCCAGTGCTTCCAGGTTTTCAATCATAGTTTAAATTAAATTAGTTCATGATTTTAATGAAAACAATCATAATAAAGAAATGTTTATCAATGGAAGCTTTATTAAAGTTTACATTTCCCTAAGTTTAATGTTATACTGAAACGAATGAATGACCCTTTGGCATGTTTACAAATATCTTAATTAAATACAAATAATTTGTAGTAAAGTGAGAATTTCCATTTTGATATTTGCTAGAATGAATCATATTCCATCAAAGTTACCATATGGTTTACAAGATCTTTCATTGGACATTGCTGAAATTATTGAAAACCATGTTCACAAACTTAACCTTTGTATAACAAAAAAAGTTTTTACAACTATTCTCGCTACTTTGACCATCGATATGAGTGGGCGTTTAGCCGAACTTTGATTAAACCCTTACCTTAAATAATATTTAAATAATTTTTGGTAAGTCTATACTTTATGGACGTCTTTGAACGACGATAAAGTGACCTTGAGAAAGGACACCTACTGATTAGGAGTAAATGAGGGTTATAAAGCAGTTAGAATTCTACTTTAAAGTTGATGGTTCCAGTTAGGAATTAGATTTAGGGTTTTCATCACGAACTGGCATCAACTATAATGTCAAAAATTTATTTAGCCAAATGTATACATGAATTTCGCGCCAAAATCCGTGACTCGTTATCTTAAACCTGGTTGGTTCACCCATAAATTCTGGTCTCGCCTAATTTTCTAATTTCTTCCACCTTTGTAGTTTTACATATTCTCAACATTCATCTCTTGATTCTTAGATAACTACTGTAATACTAACCATTTGGTTAGTTCTTTCTGTTGATACATTATACAATGTAGCAACTATAGGGTTTTTCGAATAATTGAGATTAGATGGTGGTTGGAGGTAGTCGACAGGAAACCCTGGACTCGGGTTTCATGCTACTTGGCACTCGTCAGCAAGGTGCTCCCTAACGGATTTGATTTCGTGTCACCCAGTTTCACAATCAGAGACGTTACCACTGAGCTATCCGGGCCGCAACTGACCTCCTGTAGGACTGAGATGTAATCACAATTGATTGATCACTAAGTGGTGATCAATGTCATGTGTCAAGTCCTTATTTAGTGCAGATCGAACGCTATCAACTATGTTGCAATGTGGCCACCAGTCTAAATAAGGAATTGACACATATGGCATTGATCCCCACCCAGTGATCAATCAATTGTGATTTTCGAATAAATATTTCGATTTATAGTAAATTTTTCTTAACAGTGTTTGATTTTGTTTAAGCAAATTAAATCATACCTGAGTTTTTTCCACAATCTAATGGATATTAAAAATGAAAGATACAAAGAAGTCAGTCAGTCAGTCAGTTGGTCACAATCAACATAAAATATCGCATAAGTGCGCTCCACACCAAGTTGTCATATAAATTTTTTTCAAATGACAAAAATGCTGATAAAGCGATCAAATGTGTTGACAATAATGATGGGAATGATTGAGCATTAAGAAGATAGTTTTAAAAGACAATGAATAGACGTATATACGGAAGAATAGTGAAACTCGAAGTTTAGAAAGAGAAAAATAAGGAAAATTAAAACCGAGCAGTTATGACTGAGATTCTGAGCCATGGTCAACCTAACATCTCCAAACATCGGTTGTGGTTATTAAACCAATGGCTTAGTCTAGCAGATAATAACTTCATGATCTAATCCTACGTGTTGTTTTCGTCGTGTACAAGCTTTCTTTTAGCTTAACCCTATACTGAAAAACATTATTCATGCATAACAAAGACATATTCTAAAAGAAATACCTGTTCTTAATCATTATTAAAGTGGTAATTTAGCTCATGAAAGTATTGCTTCAATGTAAGCTGTCGTTTATGATAAATCTTTGATTTAAAAAAGATGGATGCTTTTACACATGATTAGTCAGATCATTTGGAAATACAACATATTTTGGAAGTTGAAGTTAAAAATGTCAGCAATTCCATGGTGTAATTTCCATTCTAGATGTATTTTTTAAAAGATTAAACATGTAGATTATTGGATTTCAGAATGATAAACGATGATCTTCGTCTCGATTTTAGTAACTAATCATTTCTAAATAACCACACCCAGAATCTTTAGATCTCTTATTGATTCAACCTGTAGTTAATCTCACAGAGTGGAAGAACAAAAAACTAAACGAAATAAAGTGAATTCGTGTTATTCTGTTCAGTTCTTTGTTCTTCTGGATCATCAGTCATAGTAACAAGAGATCACAGAGATAAAATAATTTATTGATTATGTAAGGGATTCATTGAGCACAAAGTAACAGCAATTAAGAATAGCATGAGTTGAGATCAGGTAGTTAGAAACAAAGATTCTGAATTCGAAAGAAGCGATTTAATTGAGTTAAATTGTAAGAACGGTGTAAAAAACTGATGGTAAAGTCACGATGGTAAGGAAAAGTTTGCAACTGTTTCCTTTTGGATATAGGAGTCCAGCTTGAGTCGCTTGATATCTTCGGGGAATTTCAAAAGAATGGAGTTCGACTGTCGAATAATGAATGTTGAGAGATTTCAGTCCATCAAATTGATGTCACATATCATATAGATGTTTTGAAATTACACTGCTAAAAGCCTTCAATCCCAGTGACCTGAGACTTTTTGGGATATGTTCTTGGAATCGAACGTAGGCCCTTATTTTTGTTCTACTAATGTAACTACTTTGGTATACACATGTAAAGTTGTACGAACAGTTGGCGGTAAAATGAAAGAGGTACATATCGATCTTTGATTAGAGTAAAAAATGTAATGTTCTATAAAAGATAATCAGCTTAACTGTAGGATGAATTCTGGTCAGTGTAGTTTTTTAATTTTCTGTTTATTGTCAATCCAACATCGTTGCCTTTAAATCTATGTTAAATGAAAATAGGTTTTTTGTTTTCTCATTTCTCATTAATAAATTTCTTTGGAGACCCGTTTTTTCCTTAAGTATTCCTTCACATTCATTGCTTCGACTTTTAGTGTATCATTGGTACATACCCTTACCATTCTGTGAAAGTATTTTGAAAAGTACTTTTTTGTAAATAATTGGTTAAAAACTATTAACATTCAAATAAACGCCGTTCCACATATCTTTTTGATAAACTGAACGTTGAACGGTACCACCACCATACCCTTGAGAAGGTGGGGCTTATTATCCGTTTCCTGTTCCCCAGTAAATTCAACATTTTTACGAACGCCGTTAAAAAGGTTCAACAGGTGTTTTTTGTTGTTGACCATTACAAATATTAAAAGTATCATCAACATTACCTTGAATAATACATCATTTCATTATTCATTCCCTTTAAGCTTCTTAGTGTGTCATATAATAAATAATATGTAATTTTAACTTCATCCCACAATTTATTTCCCACTTTGTATCCAACTTATAAAAATTAAAGAAAGTTGTGAGAAGATGAAGATTAAACCATCCAGTTGAGAAAACTTCGTACCACTAAAAACAAATATTTTCGGCGAGACTATAATTTATGGACGAACCAATCAGAGTTACAATAATAGGTCTTAGATTTTGGCGCGAAATTCACTCACCCATTTGGCTAAATAGTCTTGGCATTATAGCTAATGTCAATTCGTGATGAAAACCTTAAATCTAATTCCTAACCCTAACCATCAACTGTAAATCATAATCTTTATTCTTCAACCCCCTTTATAACCCTCATTTAGCCCTAGTTAGTAGGCAAACACTCCAAGGTCA